TTCTTTGAGGTTTTGCGGGACTACCCTTCTTCCACCACATGTACCCTCTCATGAGCATTGATGTCTTTTGTATCATCTTGCTTTCTATATTCCTCTTCTAAACGAAGATGATTTCCCAATTTCTCAAGAAAGATGTTCTTTTTTTATGCTTGAGACTTTTTTGAAATCTTTCCATGAAAGACGAAGTTTGTCTACGATTGTGGAGACAATGATAGATTCATTCATTTGCATTTTGTGTTGAAATTATTCAAGATATGCTGTATTTCATGTATTTATTCCATAATAGATCTTCCATCGACCATTCTATAATTATTGAAAGAGTAACAAGAAATTTTTTACTTTTAGCATCCACTTATATGTAACTTGCCTCTAATTTGTCCCAAACTTCCTTTGCAGAGGTTGAATATTAATGAACATCAAAGAGAGAATTATCAAGCCCAATGAGAATGTGTCTAGTGCAAAATATAGTCATTATTTCCCACTTTTTCCTTTCTCTAATTCTAGCTGGGTTTCACTTAGGAGTGATGAGGACATAAGCAACTTTCAAAGTTGTGAGAAGTAATTTCATCTTCCTTTGTTATCTCAAAAAGATTCCTCCTTCAAATCTTTCCAACTTTACAAAGTTTGTTGTCAACTCCTTCAAAGAAGCCACTTATAGTGCATGAAGAAGCATAAAGATTGTTAACAAGAATGACTTTCTGAAGAATAAAAGTAGAGATGAAGGAGAAAGCTATGCACGATGTCTTTAAAATATGAGCAGCACTTCCTTTTAAGATTAATTCACCCCACCTATTCCAATCTTTGGATGCAAATTAGGTTGGTGGCAAATTTCATTTTAGATACAATAGAAACCCTTGAGTATGGATTGCATTTCCAAGACTCAAGCAAGGATAACAATGGTCTTTACAAAGTGATAATTTGACTTTATTTTTTATGCACTCTAAAGACAAGAAATGAATTTCAATAGTTGAATGTTGGGTATGACTAATGGCGAGGGGTAATAGATAATAAAGTGATGCTTTTTAAGTAAAAATACTCTTTACTTAAAAGTCATAATCTATGTTGGTTCATGAACCAACATTGTTTAATAATTAATGTTATGCAAGGGTTAACTTTTCATTAAAAGTAACATCCTTTTAATATGTAAAGTTTTTTTAAAATATCATTTCTTTTCACTGAGTGGGATTCCAAAGGTGCCTTTAGAAATTAGAGAGATATAACATTAATGACCATAACTCCCTTCATAAAACTTCCTTAATTTATAAAGACATGACTTTTCATAAAACATCTCTTCATTTCAAAAATATTCCAACTCATTACACATGGCTTTTGATCCTTGTTTTTATCTGCTTCAACAGTTTTAATTCTACCATTTCTATAGCGATTATGCTAATCAGACTGCGCTTGCTGTTCTTTAGTTTACATCCTTCAAGATTTCCTTTCGACAGTCTCATACACCACAATATTTATAAAAGCAATGATTGCAATATGCAATTTTGGCATGATAGGGTGTTTCACTTGACAATTTGGAGATACTCAGAGTCATTTATGGCATCTTTCCAACATATCGCAACAGGTAGTAAATTGTACCAGATCTAATATTGTCTAAGTTATCTATAATTTACAGGTTGTAATTAATTATAGCTGTTACTTTTTTACAGTCTGCTTAGAGTATTTGTGCTATTTTTAAACAAATGTTAAAACAATGCAGCCAAATGTTTCAACCTATCATATGTCTCAGGGGGTTTTTGAATTGTGGTCTGAAACTGTATCAGGCTGCAATCACAATCCCCAAGTCGCATCCTCCTTATTTTCTTTCAATCATTGCAAGTTAAAACCATTTATCTGCGTGATCAGTATTTGTTGAAGCTTTTTAATTATTTCAATATATAAATTAAGATATGTAGTAGTCATTAGAAGTTTCTAAATCAAGTTGAAAATTAATTTTTGAATATTTGTCTCAGACGACAGAATTCTTTGACAGTCCAGTCGCCGCCAAATGCCCTTAAGGAAACTGTAACCAATCATTAAGCGTATATATGACTTTGCAAACCCCAAACTATCCTATAAATAGTGATGTCTCTTTTTCTCTGCCATATATCTTTGCATGTTCTAATTTACCCATGGGTTTGTGTTGATGTTTTTTTTTTTCTTTTCTTTTTCTTTTTCTTTTTGTTTTGCCAGCATTAATGTTGTTTGCAGTATTTTTTTTCCTTTTTTGTTTGTTATTTACTTATGAAGTAATTCACTTTCACTTGGACATCTTTTTTCATTAATATGCATGATACCACTTTCTATTTTGATACCTCTTTTTCAAAACAATAAAAAAAACCTAACCCTGTTTGTTGGTGTGGAGCAACTTGACAGCCCGCTACCAGCTGCTTTTAATAGAGTTCTACAGGTAAATAACATTTTTCTTTTACTTCTAAATTCAATCAGTTAGAGCCATCACTTCAAATTAATATAAGCAATGAACCTTCATTTATGCAGTTTGGTGACGCAAGTGGCATTCAGTCACCTGTATCATTTGGTGGCTTTGGTAGCTTGACCAGGCACCTTGGTAGATTGTCAGAAGGTATGAAGAGGTTTTCTTTTTTTGATGTATCTTGAAAGTGAAACCATTCATCAGTTAGTTTTCTTATGCTTGGTAAAACTGGACACCTCTTGTTTCTGTATATTATTTGAACAAGTGCCTGTAGACACCGACATTAAAACATTATTTTTGTTTACTAAAATAGTTTGCGTGAAATTAATCTTCAAGTTCATTTTTAACAATGAAGAGATGAAAAGTAGATAGAACAGCATCAACATAGGGCTAAACTAGAAATTTGGCTATCAGATTGTTAGACTTGTCCACTTTTAGTCCTCCAAAATTTGTGTGTGGATTAGTTTCAAAAACTAACAAATTCATTGCATATTAATTCTTCAGTCAAGTGACCCAGAAATCTCAAAGACACAATCAAACGTGGTTGTTATTTTCAGAAACTAACACGTGGCAGCCACTAATTTTTAGTGACAAAAGATGAAAAGGTCTAAAAATATAAGGACCAAATAGTTGGTTGAGTCTTAACTGTATAGATTCTCTAATTGCCTTTTTACTTTGCTATAATGAAGGAATTTATGAAGCAATCAGTGGTGACTATCTTGACTCACACAACTTGTCTCTGTTGAACCCATACATGGTACTTTTCTGCTTTATAAATGGTCTTAATGATTCAGCAACTATACATGAAACTTGACTAGTTTTTGGGTAATTCAGCCAAACTTGAGTGCTTCGTGGCTGTTTCAAAGGGCAATGTCAGCGAAGCCGCAGTCCAATGTTTCCCCAGATTTTATTAATGAACTGCTTTATGCCAATTTCAACTCTATGCAGGTAGGCCTGCCTCCCTAAATACCAAAAGAAATAAATTATACTGTAAATTATAGTTTACTTCCTATGGTTTGAAGTGTCTCATATAATTTTCCCATGGTTTGTTCCATTTCTTTTTAACTGTAGCATGATATTTTTTTGTCATTCCTGTAACAGACAAAGTTTACTTCCTATGTCATATGTGATATATATATCCGGAATAGTTTCATAGTTTTTGAAGGCTACTACTAAAATGAAGTTAACATTTTGAATTGTGACTGTCTACATAATCTAGGTAATACCCCCAAACACACAAAATATTCAAAATATAAGTGCAATAGAGATTCAGCAATGAAATTTTTCATATGAACTATGCCACAAGAAGGTTACTTGAATAAGCCACTGGGGCTTTGAATATCACTCTTCCAAAGGGAAGCAAAGCCAAACCATGGGTGGATAAACTATAATTTACCCTGACTTCTATTCTCCCCACCTCATGCTTAAAGCTTGTCTTTTAAAAAACTTTTTCAGAGACTTGGAGATCCAGTGCTACGACCGTTTCTACAGGTTGATGATTTATTTGTCCTCTTTTCTGAAATGTTTTATCAAATGATTTCTTGATGATATGTTCTTGCTGAATGATTCAATTCATTGACATTATTACAGGATGTTGTACAGTTTGGTCCTCTTTCCAAGACCTTAGGCCTGGTTATGTTATCTAGGCCTCAAATACTCCCATCCATATTCAAACAGGTAGTTCATGAATTTACTAGTCAATTATTTTCCCTTCCTTTTATTCATATCCAGATATCAAACAAATATGGAGTACATATCTGATCAACTGTAATACATTATGTCCTTTTATTCTGTTTGTTTATTTCCCTCGTCTCAAAAAAAAAAAAAAAATTATGTCCTTTTACTTTTACTCTGTTTCTGCTGATTTGTGATTTCTTGACACAGCAGAAACTAATTATCAAGATCCCTTTCACATTCGCCTTTGTTTTCAAAATTGTCATCTAAACATTTAAACATCAACATTATGGTGCATTGAATATATAATTTACTGATTTTTCTTTGTTTTAAGTGAGAAAAAATCGTGAAAAAAAATGATGGAATTCTGGGGAAAAAATGATTGGTTAGCCCCATGAAACTTGCAGTGCATCATGTTGGAAAAAGAATCCTCAAAATTGAAAATCTACCCTTATTGATGCTCATGCATTTTCTTTTAGTTTTGGGAAGTAATTATTCTTTGAGAATGGAACTGAGAATGAATTTTATGTAACCCTTTAATAGCTTTTGCTTCTAAATTCAATCTTCCTATCTGTTTGAAAATTCATGCCTTTTTAAAGGACCATACAAGAATCATTTTTGGAAGAAGGAACAACTACGAGGAGGCACTTCCCGGGCCAAAAAAATCCCTCACAAATTTTTTTTTTTTTTTTTTTTTGGGGTACGACTATATAGTATCCAGTATCATTGAGTCAAATTCAAGCATTCTTATGTCCATTTAAAAGTAACTCTCCCGACATGATTTTTCGATTATTATTATTATTATTCATAAGATTCAAACTCTCAACCTTATTTAATAAAAATTGAATCGCTTTCACTCAACCCAACCAATATTAATCCCTTTTACAACATGTCTATTGACGTAAATTCTCAAAAGAATTTGCAAATAGGATGAGACCCAAGTAAAGTTCTCTTATACATGTTTATTGTCAAGTTCTTTACTAACATCATTTCATGTAGGGGAACTTTTTCAGAACACTCAATCATACACTGCTGAAAAGCCTCCATTATGTCTTTTTATTAGAAAACCTAATGTCAGGCAACTGAAAATTAAACCTAAGTTAATCCTTTTAGATATTATTAACAATTAACAGGGAAGTAATTGTTTCATATGCATGCAAGTTAAATGGATGTCTTGTTTCAGGTTGGTATTCCTGTACTTCTTGACTGGTCCACACATTATTTTATGCTTGGATACTACACCTTTCTCTCTACCTATGCAAGCCCTATTGTGAGGTAATTATCTTCTCTAAGTCATCTTTTATTGATTTTTTTGAGTGCAATGTTTTGTCTTTCACAGGACTTAACAATAACTATATTGAATGTTTCTATTTTGAATAAACTTGCATAGACATTTGTTCTTGATTTAAAAGCATATATATGTTCAGTTCTTTTCAAAAACGTCAGACATTAAAAATCTATCAAAAATTTAAACGACTAAAGCACCCTTGATTAACATTATTTGAGGCCATGTTTACTATTCATTAGCTTCACGGCAGAGGAGAACTGATATCAAAGGCAATGTCTACGCTTTTGTAATCAATTTTTTATCTGCTCCTTTTAGTTATTTTTTTAACTTGGAACAACAAGAATCCATGTCATTCAACAAAGTTTTAACATTAGCTGTCAAAGGCCTAACACAAAAATAAGGCTTGATGATGCCATTGTTGTTGTAGAGTACCCAAAAAAAAAGAAAAAGTCTTTTTCTTATTCATTTCATTAATTTTTTTTTAATTCTCTTTCTCTTTATATATCTAACAATTCTTTGTACCAAACATAGCCTTTAAAACAAGTTGCTTGAAATTAAACATGTATTTTTGAATGGGTAAGAGTCCTTCTCAAAGCCAGTAGGTTAAAAAGGGTGTTGTAGGCATTCAACAAATTACTCTTTCCACTTACTGGTATATAATATATCAGCCAACAGTTATGAAAACTGTATTTTACTATATTTTTTTAATATTCAACAACCATATAAAATGTATGATAATTAAATAAATCACCCATATTCTCCAGTACTCTCATGTGTTCTATGTATTGCAAGGCCATTCTTAAATGCACTACCTTCCAAGATGAGATTCAAGTGGAAGAGGCACCTTGAGACTTGGAAATATGGAGCTGGACTTGACTACAAGCTCTAGATAACCTCTTTTAAGTGATGATACAGATTTAAACAGAAGATAGGGATGAGGAAGTTGGGCAATTTTTTTAAAAATATTTTTTATCAGAAAGTTTGGCGCTTTCAGTTTCTGAATAGATTCTTTCCTTGTTTACCTCTTATGTTATTTCCATTCATTGGAAGTGACAGAATTGAAAATCATTGAAATATTTCTCTCAGAAACGTGTCTGAATCTTCCAGGGAAATATGCGACGATTTGTTTTGGTGTGATAATTTTTTTTTATTTCTAGTTTTACATTTTATTCTTAATCTTAATTTTAAGAGTAAATTTAACTTGCTTCTGGTCCATAAGATATAACCAAATTATACTAATTTCATTATTTTGAAAATGTGCATTGTCGTTTTCTTAAGTGAAAAAGATGCAATACACTGGCCTCCTTTACAGTAAAAAGATGAGGTATGGTTATGCTTGTAATGAAAATACCCTAGCATCTACCTATTATTTACACAATATGACAAGTATTGAATGCATATTTAACCAAGATAAAAATAGTTAATTCTACAATTGGAATAAATTTAACTAATTTTAGTTTGGAAAAAACTTATCAAAAAGTATTTTATAGAAAAACATATAAGTATGTAATATTGGAAAGACAAGTTTCGATATTTTTTTAATAAATCTTATATTAATAAAATATATCAATGTTATTCTTGACAGCATTTTAGTCAAATTTTAAGGAGAATTTATGATGTATAATTGTAACAAGACATATTTTTTGGGATAAAGTTATATTTTTATCCCTGAAACTTTTTTTAGAAGCACCAATAACTTAAAGTATTTAAAACATAGAATCCTGCACATTGACATTAAATTGCAACAAACAGCCGTTAGAGAATGCTGACGTGGACTTTTTTTTTTTGGCCAAGTCGTAGACGCGTTTGACTGAGGAGAAATGAAATAACAATCTTGACCCACTATTTTTTTATTATTATTTATTATACCCTCCAAAAGCAACCACACTATATGCTATCCCCTTCTTTAAAAAAAAAAAAAAAAAAACCAAAAGCATTGCCTTTGCTTAGAGTTCGAGTAAACATAAGTAGTAAGAAACAAAATTCTAATAAACATAAAAGTATCCAAAATCTAAGAAGTAAAAACCACAGTTAGAGGTATTCACAGGACAGGAAGAGACCGGAACACTTCTATCTCATATCTTGTTCTAAAAAAAGATTAAAACTAAATTTTAATTTTGTATTTTGTCCTATCCCAAAAGCTGTCCCATTCCATTAGAAATTGGGACAGGACAAAGACAAGATTGGTAGAGATGAAAATATGAGTCAGGTTATGTGAGTTAGCTCGAATAATTAGTTATAAAAGTCAGGTTGAGTTGGAAAACAATTTAACCCGTGAATCATATGGGTTAACTTTGATGAGTTAGAGTTAGATTGTTTAACTCATATTATTTTTAAAAAAAAAAAAAAAGAACAAAGAGAAAATTTTGTGGATATAAATCATATTAGGCATGACTTACTTAACTAGATTAATTTTTATATTTTGTACAAATATTATAAATTAATATTTTTATATATTTAGAATGAATCACGAGAAAATATTAACTTAAAACTTATTATTTAAATATATTTTTAAAAAAATTTATAAAAAATAAATAAGTGTGTTAGCGGGTTAGTCGATTTAATCCACCAAACCTTAAGGGTTGAGTTGAGTTGAGTTTTTTCTAACTCATATAAAAATAGGTCGAACCTAACTCAATCCACATTTCTCTTAACCCTATAGGCCGGATTAACCCATATTCCAACCTTTAGAGATCGGGATGAGATCGGGACATCCTACTGTCTTGATAAATTAGACAATATGGAAAAAAGCCTGAATAATAACATTTATTAAAATTTTAAATCACATAATTTATTAAGGTTAAATTCAAAACAACATGACTACATGAATCATAACAATTTAAAGTCAATTATTAAAGTACATCAATTACAATTATAAGTGTATAACAGTATGATAGCAATTACAAGTGATCTTTAAACTATAAGAGCAACAACAATAGATAAGTCAGGCACAATATCAAGTCATTGTTCTTTTTCTTTAATTGAGATATAAAAATAAAGAAATAAATAAAATATAAACAAAAGTTATTAAATAGATAGGCAGAAGAATAAATTATATTAATATAATTAATATATTATAAAAAAATATTATCATTTACGGCTTACTTTATAAGTATATATTATTAAAATTATCAATATAAAAAACTTTTAATTTTAAATAAGAATTGTAGGTATTAAAATTATAATTAATATAATTAATATAAGTATAAATTATATTAGTATAATTAATATATTTAATTTATATTTAAAAAATAAAAAATAAAAAAAATATTATATTATATATATATATATAGTATTCAAGACAAGATGCCACGAAAGCAATTTCATAGCCCGTGTTGTTTCAAATCCCTTTTTCATCTTATCTTGTAAAGTCTCTTCTTCTTGATTGTTTCAAATTGAAATGATTGTTTCAAATTGAAATGAGACCCATCGGGACACAGCGGGCCAATCAGGACTCCCCACCCACAGCCTCCCCGACCTCCTTAATCTTCTTCTCTGCATTCTTGGAAACAAGCTTGGCCTTCACCACGCCAAGCTGGTTCTCCGGCAAAACTCCTTTACCCAAAACCTTTAAGTACCCATAACGACGTGACATTGATGAAGATTGTCCTCGGAGGCTTTCCCTTTCACCTCATTAAGAACCAATGACCAGAGCTTGTCGATGCTGACAATGGGGCAGTAGAACTTGTTGCGAAGCTTATAAGAGCAGTGCATACCCCTTTCCCGAAGTAACAAAGGCGATACTTGCCGAAGAGGATTCTATATGGTGGTGGTGCAATAGAACTTGTTGCTTCCTGTGCTTGCCGATCCGACCGTGACCGGCACTCACTTGTCGTCATCTCCGATTTGTCTCCGCAAAAGCTTCTCTTCTCTGAGGCATCGGTGGCACTGGCACATCCCCTCCTTTAAGATACATCAAAATATTCTCTTCTTCACTTCCCTACCTGCCTTTTTCTTCTACTTCCCCTATTCAAACCCACTGCATAACACATATCACCTTCTCGTCTTTCCTTCTCATTCATGCTCGCTTTCATCCCCTGTTGCGAAGCTGAGCTTTTCTCTGTTTCTTTGGTTTGAAATATAAACATGACGATGCGGTAGAGATGACTATGACTATGACTATGAGAACGGCTTAATCGTGAGGCAGAATATTGGGGGGCCTTCAAATAATGATACTGTGTTGCTGTGACCTTCGAACATCTACTGTTGTCTTCCTCACCATCGTCACTCTGAACGTCCTCCACACAGTTCGCCCAAGTCGCCGCAGTCACTCCATAGTTGAGAATGGAAGAAGGTTGAAGAAGCTCGACTGGTCGTGGAAATTTGAAAAATCATTGTGGGTGTTTTAATCAGCAAAATTAATTTTTTAGGACAAATATGATTTTCCAGGTGTTTATTGTAGAGAAAATGCACAAAAAAGGGGCCCACCAAATTGACTGTGACGGACGTGTAGGGTAATGAATGCTACATTTTAATCATTTGAAGGGTGAAAATACTGTGCGAAATACGTTCGAATATTGGGTGCTGCTCAAAAAAAAAAAAAACTTCAAAAACAAGAATGAACCTTTACCTTTTTTTTCGTATAGAGATTAAAAAATGAGCCACTATTCATAATTTTTGAACAATGTTGACTATTATAAACATATTATATATATCTATATATATTATCGACATCTTTTTTTTTTCCGTAAATTTCAAGTGTGAAATGCTGTTCAACGAACAATAAAAGCAATAATTTCATCACACGACTTTTTTTTTGTTAGAGAACAAAATTTAATACACATTAACTAACATCTATTAATAACTATATAATCATAAATATAAACTTATGACATCAAATAAATATAATCTTAAATTTTTAATTATAAAAAAATATTTTTAACACAAGCAAGAAACGCTAGAATAAGATGAACCATGCATTTCCCTTTTTAGTGCTCTAACCTGATTAACTATATAATAATTTGCAACTGACTTTTCAAAATTTAACATAAAATGTTTTAACGAAAAGGAATGATTATGTAATATTATATGATTATTAAGGACTTAAATCTACCAATTTTTCTGTGCATCACCAGGGATACTATATCTAGTTGACATTGATAAAAGGATTTAAAAAAAAAAAAAGCATTTAAACATCTCTTATATAATAAAGTGTAATTTACTTTGACGCAAAAGAATGTGCTTAAATAAAACGAGCTGTTTCTAAGTTTGCAATAGGGACCTATGTGCTGTTATACATAGACTACTTCACAAGAAGAGACACTGATACACCAGAGTGAGAAATTTCACTTTCATATCAAATTTCATACGTATCAAATACCTCTCAAAGTGTCATCTTATTTTAAGAGGGTAAAAAATCTTGATATAAAGGAATTATTTGATCATTCAAACAACACTATCACACATGTAATGACATAATTTTACAGCATATTCTAGTTTGTATATTCACTCTTATTCTTCAAATTCTACTGCAACACAAAATAGCCCCTGGCACACTCCAAGATGCCCGCCTATGTATGTACTATCTCCTATTTCAGCATCTTCAACAGAAAAAGGATGAAGAAAAATAAAGAAAAACGGTGTCAATCAGAAGTTTTGGCACCAAACATTTTAGACAGTTCCTTTATAATTGGCTTCTGCTTGAGATCTGTTTCTCTTTCCAAATGCCATTTCTTATTCAAATTCTCAGCCTGCATACCAAATAATGCCCATGCTCATCATGCTCATGCCATTAAAGATTAAAGAATATTCATAAGTTGAGATGAATATGATTCAGAACATACCCAAATTTTCAAGGGGTCTAATAGCTCTCTGATATTCTCGAATTTTGGCTCAACTGCGTCTTTTCCTCTAGTTTTGATGTCATCAAGCTGTCAAAACAATTAAGGCTTCGTGTAAATAAGCATTTAATATTATCAATTCATATACCCAAAGGAGAAGAGAAAGAGCAACAAAATGAAAAGATGCAATGGCTCAGAACCACAATCCTAAAGTTATATACATCTGGGAGTTGGAAGTAGAAAGGAAACGAAGAAATCCAATGAAATTTTTATATCTCTAAAAGATAACAACACATTCATATTCTTAACAATAAACTGCAAAAAAATGTTAATCAAATAAATAAATTGGTTGAATGGTTT